ATAGAGTATTTTAAACTGGGTTGTCCTAGAAAATTCAGGGACATATGGCGGATTTAGGTCGATGGCTTATTTCATAACAAGGGTCCTCTGGGCCCAATATGCTAATTAGAAGGGATTAAGGATCAAGGATGGGATATATCTGAGGGGAAAGCTGTCAATGGAGAGCAGGAAAAAGAATAACAGAATGCTGTGTAGACAGCACATGAAGAACGTAAACATTCTACGTATGGAGTGGGAAGGAAAGTTTATCAGAACTGAAAGTGTGTCAGTGAAACCTGGTCTGGTATCAGAGGTGGGGCTAGGGTGGGATGGGATGGCAAAGGTTGGTGAGGGGATGGGAGATCATTGACAAACTGGTATCCAATAATACAAGGGGGGCCAGGAGCAAGGAGTTTAGGATGCAACCTGACCTTGGGCAAATTACTTCCCTCTCTGTGGACTTCAATTTGAACAGAGAAACTACCCACTTTCTCAAAATTAATGTCTATTTTAATAGAAAGAATCAATAAATATACCTTCATTTGTCATGGGAAGGAGAATGCTCTTCTAAAAATAGACGAGAGAGCAGATGCAGAATAGCTTGGCCCTTTCCATTTAATTAAAAACCTCGTGAGACTAAACTAGATTAAAAACAAAACTCTCCAGCGAAGCTGCAGACGCCTCCACGATAGGTAGCCCACCACCTGAAAAGTACGGCAGAAGCCAGCAGTCCAGCAGCTAACCGCTAAATTCCGTCCCAGAGATGACGGTATGAGGGTGGGAGTATGAGGAATTCGGAATACGGATGAGGGACACTGAAGCGCCTGGCACACAGTGGTTGACAAGGCTGCTTCCAGGGGAAAAGCCTGGCAAGCAAGGGTCAGGACTCCGGCGGAGGGAGACGCTGGGCTGTGTCTCCCCAGACGCGGAGGCAGAGGAGCAGGACACCTCCCGGCGCAGAGAGAGCGAGTTGCGGGCTGGCACGGCCTGGCAGCCGACTAGGCCCCGGCCGGGAATGGCACCAGAGGGCGGTGCCCGGTTTCCAGTGCGACGAGCGCGGCCCTCGGCCTCCCTCATTGCGAGAACCCCTCCCCCGCCACGGACACTG